TTATATGAATTGTTGAATGTGAAACTAACTGATGATGTGCCCTGTAAACTTTCACTCAATCCACAATAAAAACCTTAAACTAAAAAAAAAGTGGTACATTTTATTGACTACCAAACTCTTTAGGGCTTTGTGAACAGTTTAATTGTATTACATTATGCTGATCTAAAAATATTTAATTGACTCAGTAGAAAACTTTAACAGATGGAATTAATGGCCTATGTAGAACTTTGTATTTATAAATAATTCTAAATGATTTCATTAACTTTTGTCAATCTACATTTTAGAAATGTTCAATTTAAAGAGTCATTCTAAAAACTGTAGTTCCCCAATGCATTCTATTAACTGTTCCATATTGCATTTCTATTTCAGACATGTAAATAAAAAAGGAACTTCCATTCTCATAAATTTTACTTCATAGCAGTCAGAGATATACTAATAATACCATAAGATTCAAATATTAATCTACTCCTTAAAAAAGTTGCTGTTGTTGTTAAGTGCTGCCAAGTCAATTCCCACCCGTAGCGACCCTCTATGGGGTTTCCAAGGTGCAGCTGATGAGCTTGAACCACCAACCTTGCAGTTCAAACTACTTTGCAGTCTGACATATTAGCCCACAGTGCCGCACCAAGATTATTTTAATTCTAAGAAGTCTGCTTCAATGTTTTAATTCTTATGGCAAAAACTGTTATTTTATTCTCTTCATTGCTACCTTTACAGAAATCACTTTTTAGAGCTGAAATGGATTTTTAATTTTATACGAAAAAAAAAAAAACAAAAAACATAAGTTCTTACTAATATCACACCATCCAGTTCAAAGTATTTACCACCCACAAATCCAACATCTAAGAGAAAAAAAGGGGGCACAATAAAAATGTGAAGGAGCAAGCAGAGAGATCTTAAGTAACACATAGCCTACCTGTCTGACCCAGCTGATGCATTTTTTGTAAGTCGTCTTTTTTCTCTTTTACCGGTTTCTGGAGCAAATTCTGTTTGCTTTCCTGGGTTTGCAAATTGTAATGACCTCAAAGCTTTGGCAGTTCTACCCTGAATAAAAGTAAACAAGTCAAAAACTCAAATCTTGACACCAGACTATAACTAAATATTTATTTATTATTAATCCAGATCAATTCACAACCTGGATTTTTAATCACAAGAAAGGATAAAAGGTTTTAGAATCAAAGTTCAACAAAATTTAAAAGGTCTATGGACCACATTATAATTTATTAGTTAATTTTTAAATAACATTTTCATAATCTGATTTTTTTCTTTGGTGTATTAGAGGGCAGGCACGGTGACCACTGTGATGGTTGCTATAAACATGGGAGAGATGGCAGAAAAACCACTAAGTAATACAATAGCTCCACATAACTGAGGTTCCTAATAATGACCCTGAGTCCTTAACAAAATAGTCCTATTATTATATTATATAGATATTCCTGAGAGCATAGATGTGATTTGGTTTCTAAATTTAGAACAGAAACAATCTTTTAAGAACGCTTTCATAAAACAGAATTTTGGTGTTTAAGAGATTAAGTTTGTTATTGGAAGGGGAGGGAAAGGTTTATATGATACATTCCACAAAAGCACTGGATGGGTAAGGCGGAGACATTTAAAGTGGTAGTATCAACAAATACGTAATGTAAAATGCTGATAACATTGGGTTCTGGAGGTGTGGCTCTGAGAGTTAAAAAGGAAAAACAGTATGAATCATTTTGAATTTTAATGATCTTTTCATTAGGTTTCTATTTTTTTATCATAAAGGGAAATATTCTAATAAGAAAAATTATAAAGAGTGGTTATTCTAAGAAATTTTGAGAAGTGTTCATTTGACATAGACTACTCTCATTCTATCACTGGAGAAGGATATCATGTTTGGTAAGGTGGAGGGACAGAGAAAAAGAGGAAGACCGCCAATGAGATGGATTGGCTGAGTGGCAGCATCGATGGACTCAGCATGGCAACAATAGTGAGGTTGGCCCCGGATTGGGCAGTGTTTCCTTTTGCTGTGCATAAGGTCGCTATGAATTGGTACCGACTCGATGGCACCTAACAACAACTCTCATTCTATATACTAAAGGTGACTTTATAAAATCTGAAGTGTTTGATATGGTTATGCATGGGTGCTATTATTATGTGCTAACCCAATTCTGACTCACAGCCACCCTACAGGACCGAGTGGAAGGGCCCCATAGGGTTTCTGATGCTGCAGTCTTCACGGAAGCTGTTTAACAGGTCTTTTCACCCTTGGAGTGACTGGTAAGTTTGAACCATTAACCTTTTGGTTAGCAGCTGAGTGCAAAACCACTGCATAACCAGGGCTCCTTGTAGGCAAGTGAATGATCAACTCTTCAGTGGAAGATTATACAATTTCCATGAGAGAGAGTTAAAAAATATTGTTATTTTACAATGTAAATATGTAAGCTTTTTGACAACAAAATGACCTAAAATTACTGTTGACCACACCGAATATGAATTCAGAGGGAGAAATGAAGGAAACTCACCAACATTTAAAGAACCCATACAAGAATGCATAATACTGAAGAAGAAAGGCTAAAATAAGAAACAATGACCCTGTAGGGGGTTTCCAAGGAGTGCTTGGTGAGGTTGAATGGACAAGCTTATAGTTCAAAGACTCTTGCTGTATCTTAGAGTCACATTGGAATCAGAAAAGAAACTAACCTAGTCAAGTTCTAACTTTGCCAGAATGAGCACCATCTCCAGGTGGTACAAATTACTTGCACTTGACTGATAATCTGAAAGATGTTTGTTTGAACCCACATAGCTATAACACGGAAGAAAAGTCCTGGCGATTTGTTTCCATTCTGATTATAGCCAAGAAGACTCTTTGGAGCAGCTCTCCTCTGTAACACATGGCGTCACCATGATTGAGAAACTGATTCTACGGCAACTAACAAGAGCAACAATGTTTGAATACTAGATGCTTATGACTCTCAGGCATATTATGTTATTCCTTTCTAAAACTTTCTTTTTTTCCTGACCACCTAATTGGTGTGTGCGTCGAGCTAGTTCTGACTCATAGCGACCCTGTCTAGTTTTCGAGAGCGGCTAGGGAGTGTAAACTGCTGACCTTGTGGTTAATGGTCCAGTGCTTATGGTTAGTGGAGCAGCAGTCCAGAGCACCACACCAGGGCTCTAACCTTATACTCATTACACTATTATATTCATTAGCATGCAGTGAAAACAAATAATATAAATGGTGTTTCTAAATATTTCCATATAGTCAAGGTTATCTGGAAACCTAAATTCAAGATTGTCTGGAACCCTGAATATCCATATAGTAAAGGTTTTACGGAAACCTTGCTTTACCCTACACTGCCACACCAGAATTCCATTAATAAGCTAAGTTATTGGTAAGTGCCCTTTTAATGAACATAATAATGTAAACAAGTTCCTTCTTGTTGTTAAGTGCTGTCGAGTTGATTCTGACCCATAGTGACCCCGTATAAGGTTTCCGAGGAGCAGCTGGTGAGCTTGAACCTCCGACCTTGCAATTCAAACAGCTTTGCAGTCTGGTGCATTAACAACCACAGTGGCACATCAGGACTCCAAATAAGTTCCTTAAAGTCAAACAAAAACCTATGTTTTAGAAATCATAAACAGAAAGAAAGAAAAAAAAAGATGAGTAAACATACATCTGAATCAGGTTTTCTCTTCTGGCGGTCTTCAGAATCAATATCCACGCTTCCATTGATTATCTGCGTACATTTTGGACAAAGCTTCCAACCAGGTACAAGCTGTCTTCCAAATTTTGCACTCAGGAAAGTGGCATCATCTAAGTCAATTACATGTAAATTTTTTTTGGCTAGTTTTTTGTGTATGTTAAATGGGTCACAACATGACTTCTGCAAATCCTCAAATCTGTCAATGTAAATTTTCGCATGATGGTAACAGATTGTATTGTTCCCAGAAAGTGTCATTCCGGTTCTAAGTTGAAGTAAGAGCATATCATTTGAAGACAATTCTTGCAAAGTCTTGAAGCCTGTATGGCGAGTATAGTACGTTTTATGGCACTCATTTGTGGTACGAAGCTGGACTCCAACTGAACAGGGATCCATCATTCTTGATTCTAGCAAATTTCCCGATTTATTTTGCCTTGAAATTTTTCTCTAGTTAGTCACCCTAGAGAAAATATTAAAGAGTCAGAATTATGCTGCAAGCTTCTTACTTTAGAAACTAAAAGGCATTAGATAAATTCAATACCTATTTGAGAGAAAAAACTCCTAGCGAGTAACCTAAAGGTATTAGCGAAAAGTCCACAGTAATTAATCATAAAACATTATAAGCATTTCTCTTGCTGCTGTCAGTGCCATCAAGTCAGGTCTGACTCACAGCAACCCTGTATAGGGTTTCTGAGGAGTGGCTGGTAGGTTTGAACTTCTGACCTTGTGGTTAACCATCATCCAGTGCTTATCCAGCTCTCCTCTCCTCGGAAACCTTATACAGACAGGGTCGCTATGGATTGGAACTGACTCGACAATGCTTAACAAGTTTTACTTTGGGAAAAAAGTCTGGAGATCTACTTCTAAAAAATCAGCCACTGAGAATTCTATGGAGCATAGTTCTACAGATACACACGTGTCTCCATGAGTCAGAACTGACTTGATGGTAACTGGCTTAACTTGGTATTTAATACTTAGAACAAGTAAAGAGAAATAAATACAATATATTAATCAAAGATGATATAAATATCTACATAGTTTAACAGTTTTAAAAACTAAGAGACTTCAACAAGGATGATGGAAACCAAAAATGCTATGATACCTAAGAATCAAGCTTACAAAAGACGTAAAAACTTTTATGGAGAAAATAATCACACTGAAAGACAACAAAAGGTGCTTTAAATCGAGAAATATAATATAGTTAGTCTCGCTATAGTAAATGTTATCAATTCTCTAGAAATTTGTCTACAAAATCCTTGCTAGTCCAATAACAATTCCATTATGTATTCTCCCCTTTGGAATTTGGCAGGCTGGTCTACATGGAAGAGTAAAGCTCAAAGAAAGCCAAGATAAAATCTTGAAGAATGGTAAAGGAGGATATATATAGATACTGATACACCAAAAAGTTATTATAATTAAAACAGTGCATATTGGTACAGTATAGACAATAGATCAGTGAACAGATGAGGTTTTGGTATATAACAGAGGCAGTATTATAAGTAAATGGGTACTGCATATTGTTCTTATGTGCTGTGGAGTTGAGTCTGACGCATAGTGACCCTATATAGGGTTTCCAAGGAGTAGCTGATAGGTTTGAACTACCGACCTTGTGGTTCAGAGCCCAGTGTTGATTCTACAATGCCAAACCAGGAGTATGGGTATTGCATAGCAGTTGGAAAAAGGATTCAATAAAAGGTGTTGGAATAATTTGCTAAAAAGAATTAGATATCTTTTTCACAAATAAGAATCAATTCTAGATGGATTAAAGAATTAAACTTGAGAAGATAAGCTATAAAAATGTTTAGAAGAAAACAGAGAAGGCTATGACACTAGAGTTTAACAGATGTTCTTAAATAAGAAAGCACGTGGAAAGAAAAGATTGATACAGAAACAGGAAACCTCATTGCTCTCTTGTGCAGCAGCTGGTAGGTTTGAACTGCTGACCTCATGGATAGAAGTCCAGTGCTTATATGTTAAAATTTTCAAATTTTGTGTGATTTTGAAAACTTGAAAGCTGTTGTTTGGATTCTTATCCCAAATATATGAAAAACTATTTTGACTTCAACAACACATCAATAAGAAACATGACATAAAATCCATGCCTGCAAAGATTTTTAACCTGAGTTATCAGGAGAATGAAAATGATGTACCTTTTTGCTCCTATGAGCTAGGAAAACATTTAAAAATCAGGTAATATAGTACTGGCTAAGATTCAGCCAACTTTTACATGCTCCTAAATCCTGCTGGAGCTGTAGGAAAAACACTGGACTGCTGTCCACAAGGTTAGCATTTCAAACCCACCAGCTTCTTCACTGGAGATGAGGCTTTCTGCTCTCATCTAGATTTACAACCTCTGAAACCCTACATAGGGTCCCTATGGATCGAAATCTATTCTATGGCACTGAATTTATTTTTTTAAGCCTTGGTTATACATTGGTAGGCAATTAGAGCAGTTTTTGGCAAATTCTGGCACAGTGGAAGAACGATATGCTCCAGGACACTCTAGGTTCTAGGTATCTGTCCTAACCCCACTGTCACTATTGATTCTGACTCATAATGACCCTGTATAGGGGTTCAAAGACTATAAATCTTGTTGCTGTTTTTAGAGGTTAGTTCCAACTCTGTATAGGACTTCTAAGGGGCAGCTGGTGGGTTTGAACCGCTGACCTTATGGTTAGTTTAGTACTTATCCTACAGCGCCACACCAGGAAGGGAGCAGACAGTCTCATCTTTCACCTTTGCAGTAGCTGGTGGATTTGAAATACAAACTTTCAGTTAGCTGTCTGCCCTAGAGAAAAAATATTCATGAGTACAAGTTATATACAAAGACTTTCAAGGTTCACTGTTTTTGACACTAAAGAAAACGAAATTAACCACAATTATTACACAATTTTCCAAGTCAAGATTTCTCAAGTGTCACTGTTGTGGTGTGAAGTACTTACGATTAGAGTTGCCAGAAAAAAAAAAAAAAAAGAATTGCCAGTTAAATTTTGAATTTTAGATAACGAATGGATAATGTTTAACAAAAAAACCCCTTTAAATTATATTCCAGATTTTGCTAAAAAATAATTCATTTATCTGAAATTGAAATTTAAAAGGGTGTCTTGTAGTTTTATCTGCTAAATCTGGCAACCCTATTTATTCAGGATTCATTTTCTTCATTGTCCAGTTAAGGACAGGTCTTTCTTTGGCACCTGCTTCACCTCTTCCCTGCAGCTAACAGAAAGCTCAAGTTAAGGGACCTGTTCAGTTTAAAGTTACAACGTCTTATCTGATGAAAGGAGTCCTAGTGTGTTGCTGTGGGTTAATGTGCCAGACTGCAAAGCCGTTTGAACTGCAAGGTCGGTGGTTCAAACTCACCAGCTGCTCCTTGCGGTCGCTATGGGTTGAAACCGACTCAACAGCACTTAACAACAACAACATGTGATAGAAGAATGAACAAATAAATAAACCAGAATGCTTCTTAAAAGCAAGGATGGCCAGATTTTGGTTCACTTTCTTTGGACATGTCATTCAGGAAAGACCAATTGATAGAAAAGGACAGCATGGGTAGCAGAGGGTTGACAAAAACCAGATAACTCTTCGATGAGATGAATGGTCATAGCTGCACAGTCAGAAGTGCATTTACTGCCTAAGGACCAACATTGGTATTGTATGACAACTTATTTTAAACGTATAATCTATAGTTTGAAAAGATCCCAGTAGGCACAGAAGTACTACTTCAGTCAATTCAATGAAAAAAAGTTAACGAGTCATCTTTTATAGTCTGAGATATACACACACACACATTATAACACACATTTCATATATATATATATATAGACCCTGTATAGGGTTTCTGAGGAGCAGCTGGTGAGCCTGAACTGCTGATCTTGCAGTTCAAACAGCTTTGCGATCTAGCGCATTAACCCACAGAGCCCCACCAGGATTCCATATGTTCTCCTGCGAAACGACTGGCAGACCTTGTGGTTCACAGTCCAGTGCTTATCATATTAAGCCAATGTGCTCATATATACATATATGTCTGCCAGTCGCTTCACAGGAGAAAGATAAAGCTTTCTGCTCCAGCAAAGGTTTAAAAGTCTCGGACCCTATAAAGGGTGGCTAAGACTTGGAAGCAACTCAAAGGCACTTAACAACAATATATATAGTGCGACAAACTGACAGATGAGTGGTGGTTTTTAAACGCCTACCACTTGTCTGTCAGTTTGTTGCACTGCGGTGGCTTGCGTATTGCTGTGATGCTGGAAGCCAGGTCATTGGTATTTTGAATGCTGGCAGGGTCACCCATGGTGGACAGACTTCAGCCGAGCTTCCCGACAAAGACACCCTTGGAAGGAGAGGTGGACTACTTTCTAATATTTCTTCTTGTTGTTGTTAAGTGCCATGGAGTCAGTTATGGCTCATAGCAACCCTGTACAGAGTTTCCAAGGAGTAGCTGGTAGGTTTGAACAGCTGACCTTATAGTTGGCAGTCCAGTGCTTATCCTACAGTGCTACACCAGGAGTCATTTAGCCAGCTGAATTTAGAGATCATCTCAAAAACAGATTTCATCCATTAGACACTAATGACCAAACACCAGAAGAGTTCTGGGATGACAACAATATCATATATGAAGAGAGCTAAAGGTCAGTAAGACAAGAAAGAAGGACAGACCAAAATGGATGTCAGAAGAGATGCTGAAAATTGTTGTCCAGCATAGATGTGTAGTGGGTTACATGTTGGTCAGGACAGAAGGATTAAAGAGCTAAGCGGTGCTCTATGATAAGCAATGGACCTATAATCGCAAGACCGGTGGTTCAAACCCACCAGATGCTCCTTGGACACCTTAGACAGGGCCTCTATGAGTCGGAACCAACTTTGTGACACTTAATAACAATGATACATTCTCAATCCTCGAGGAGACTCAGGCACAATAAAAAAAGGATTGTGGCGGTGGTGGTTCTATGCCACGGAGTGGATTCCGACTCATAGTGACCCTGTATAAAGTTTCTGAGGCTGTAAACCTTTGCGGGGTCAGAAAGTCTCATCTTTCTCCAATGGAAAGACTGGTAGATTCAAACTACTGATCGTGTGGTTAGCAGAATTTAAAGAAAAAATTCAGTTCATAATTCCATTTAAAAGATTAAGGTCAAATACAGTGCTAAGCCCAAACAAGCCAGAGTAAGTATTAGTATCTGCATTTATAGATTATGAAATTTACACTTTAGAGTTGCAGTTACTAAGCCCATTGCAATGTCTAACATAAAAGAGCTACATAAATTTTTGCTGAATTAAAAATCAAACAGCAAAAAAAAAAAAAAAAAGAAACCCATCTAATTTTATCTTAAAACAGTACCCCTTCTCTATCTCAAAGCAAAACCCCCCACTATATTCTTTAAATGCTTTGTTTTTAGTGTACATCGTTGTTGTGAAGTGCTGCCGAG